GACGACGCTCAATCCATTGAGCCACATCGGCTGGCCAATCTCAATACATTAAAAAAAGAAAAAAAAAAATCAGTATTTCTTGGTATTGCAGGCTGTCTGAGGTAGTGGTCAGTTTTGAGAGGGACAGAGCAGTTAAGAGCCCCGAAACCACACTGTGCAGGCGTCCCAGGCGCGGGGTTGGTTTCTGTCCAGAGCTGACCCCTCTGGGTGCACATGACCCATTATGCCTCTGTTACTCAGGGACTGAAGGCCTGGCAGCAGACACCTGCATGGTGTGGTCCCAGACACAAAGAGTAAAACAAACCATTTCTTAAGACCCCACCCCCTGCAGAGCTGTGCCTGACCGGGAGGCGGCAAACCGACACCTGCAAACCCAAACTCAGCTCTGGACCCCGCTGCTCAGAGGCCCTACTCAGTTCCCTTCTCGTCGAGTCATTCACAGGCTCTCGGCAACGTCACGTTTAAATATTACTACAGAGAACTCACATTGAACAACGTATTAAATCTGGTAAGGGAGAAGTACGTTACTCAAAGCTTAAAAATTCCAAACATACAAACTTCAAATATACTGTTATTGTACTAAATAGTTTAAAACTCGGACTTTAAACTGTGAGTACTGGTCTGCCTCTTTAGAAACCAGAAGGGAGCTTGAACTCAGGCTACCTCCTATCCTAGCTAACAAAACCCACACAAGACCTCCACGGGAGCCTAGGGGAAGGTGAGCCCAGCCTCCTGCTCCTCGAGCTTTCGGAACGTCCTGTCGTCTCCCTTCCTCCCGGTGGAGCTCCGAAGTCTGCTCCCAACCCTCCACGCAGGATGCAGCTCACCCTGAGGTGTCTCTTCCAGCTGAGATCGCGCCTGTGCGCGGGTTTCCCTTCCCACCTGGAGGCAGCAGCCAGGTGGGCTGACAACACAATCCCTGCCTACAGGGTGCGGCACACCTTTGGGTGACCCGGTGAGAGAACAACTCATGCCCAGGAACCGACATCTTATCCGTGGGGGCAGAGCCGTCCCAAGCTGTTCCTCTCAAAACTGTCCGAAACCTCGGAGAGCCTTCAGTCTGCATCTGCTCCAGACATTCAGAAGGTAAAAGCATGGCTCATACTCATCGAAGTGTTTTAATTTCTTCTGAATTACAATGATTTCCCCCAGACAGCTGTGGTTCTTCAACATCCACTCACTTCTACTGAGCAGCCTGTTTGCTTTTTCTTTTGTTTATCCTCACCCGAGGACATTTTTTCATTTTTTGTTCAGATAGAGTGGGAGGGAGAGAGAGAGAGAGAAATATCGACGTGAAAGGGACACATCGAGTGGCTGCCACCCGCACGACCAACCAGGGCTGGGGACAAACTGCAACCGAAATATGTGTCCTTAGCGGGAACCAAACCTGGGTCTCTCTGGATCGCAGGCCGACACTCTAACCGCTGAGCCAAACCAACCAGAAGTGTTTGCTTTTTCTTCAGGCAAGTGTCCGGTTTGAGCCCAAATAACCAATTCTTCCTTTCTAAAAAAATTGGCAGCACCCTTGGTTTCACTCTACCAACACCTTATTCACTTCACCCCGTTTACAGAGCACCTCCTACACACTGGTGAGAGAGACACACCCGCTCCCTGTCGCCAGGAGCAGGTCCCAGAGAGGGGAAGGACCCCCTCCCTCCCCCGGCCCGCCTGAGAATGAGGAGGTGACTGATCCACAACTGGCTCCGTGGTCAGAGCTGGGACCCAGGGGCACTCGCTGTGTCACATCATGTGTCACCACCACCCCTGGAGCAGGTCCTACAAGTGTCCACACGGTGATGGGGGGAAATGAATCACAGCCTGCCCAAGGCCACAATTCTGACGGGCCTCCGAGCGAGGCAGGCCAGGCCCAGAACAGCACCTGAGAAAAGAACTCCCTTCCTCGGCCAGCGGCTCCTGCGACACTCCCCCAGGACGGCTCTGGCTGCGATGCGCGAAGTCTGCCTGAAGCCACTGTCTTGCAGGTGGAGAGCTCTCTCTGCAGGAGGACGGCACATGGCCTGGTCCTTTCCAGGGGCAGCACTAACTGTCCCAGCTGAGCCAGGTCAGGTGAGCCGCTCACTGAGGAAGAGCCTCTGGATACCGGCCCCAGCTCCACTCACGAGGCCCAGTGCCCAGCTCAGCTCAGCTCCTGGATCGCTCTGCTGCCCGGCACTGCCAGTGCAAGCCACACACGGAACTATGTTTTCCGGTAGCCAGAATAAGAAGTAAACAAGCAGCTCTGGATCGTCGGCTCGTAAACCAATGAGTTGCGAGTTCGAGTACGGTCAAGGGCATGTTCGTCCCCAGCCCGGGTTGGGGTCATGCGGGAGGCAACCAGTCAGTGTCTCTCTCACATCAATGTTTCTCTCTCTCCCCTTCCCACTCTATCTGAAGATAAACAGAAAAATATCGAGAATTAAAAAAAAAAAACACACAGGTTAACGTTAAGTTTAGTAAAATAGGTATTCAATTCAGTATATCAGAAATGTCATTCCAACGTGTAATCAACATAAAACAATCCTAAAGGAGGTGTTTCTTATTTGATTTGGACTAGCCTCATTTCAAGTGCTCAGCTGGCACACAGCAGCTGCCATCACGGCCACCGGGGCACCATGGTGCCAAGCCCTTCCTGGTCCCCATCACACCGCAGATGCTCAGCTGGGGGATGACTCACAGAAGTGCCTTTCTGGAGGAGGAGGCAGTAGGCTAGGCTCTCTCTGCACAAGACTGTCCTGTGTTCCCAATTCAGGAACCAAGAAAGATGAAGTGCTCTTCCCTGGCTCCCAGGTCACCTGACGAGTCAATGCACCACCCTACCAGACGCTGGCACCTGGAGAGAACAGCAACTGCAGGGGCAGGTCACAAAACACGAACAGAGTGGCAGCTCAGGGAATGGGTGAAAAGACAGGAATGCCCAGTGTCACGAAAGCAGGGCTGAGGTCTCCTCACCTGTCACCTTTCTCCTGGAGCCACAGGAAATAGCTTGGGACCCTCTCTGGTCTGGTCACCAGCTGCTCTTCTCTGTTGCACCTGACCTTGTTGGCCTGCGGCCTCTTTGCTTCAGGGCTGAGCACAGAGCCCAACACGTACTTGGTGATCAAAACACATTCAATAAATCCAACCCCTTCACACCCTCTGAGGCCAAACACCAAGTTCTACTTCACTCACCTCAGAGCCTAATGTCACACAGCTGATACAGCCAAGGGACACAAGGCACACACCCAGAATGAAGGCTGGACGGAGTGCTGGGGACTGGAAATGCGACCTCCACATGCCTGACAGGCCATGAGCCCGAGTTCCAGGGAAATTTGCTCTCTGCTGTGGGGCTGCATCCCAGCACGTAGACCATCTGTGCTTCTACACTGACACCCTGCAATCTCAGGACACTGCTGGCTCCACACAGCCGGCTAAGCGGGACCTGCTGGCTAGAGGTAGTAAGGTTGCATGTGGTGCGGGTCGTATGTCTGGGGTCCAGGACCGCCCCTCTCTCTTTACGAGGTGGCCTCCACTAAGTCCCTAACCATTCTCTGCCTTTGTTTTTTGGTGTGAAAGTGGAGACAGTAACAGTACCACCTCTAGTGCTACGAGGACTCAACCAAGAATCCACACAAGGCCCTGGAAGCCTGCCTGACTGCCCTAGCCGCTGTGGCTCAGTGGCTAGAACAGGAATAGAGTTTCAATCTCAAATGACTGAGAATGACCTCCCACTTCACTTGTCACATGCCTACCCTTTTGCAGAAATCAAGACCATGGTCACAGTGGCAACCAGGTAGAGTGTAAGTGACCGTGAACACGCACCAGTGGGCCCTCTGAAACCACCACCACAATCAGGACAGCGAACACACCAGCCCCCTGTCTCCTCCTGCTCTTCTGTAATGCCACTCCCACCCCAGCAGCACCCATCTGCTTTCTGCCACTAACACGAGTCGGTGTTTCCTAGAACTGCACCTACACGGACTTGCTCACTCAGCATTCCTGAGATTCACCCGTGGATCTGTGTGTACGGCCTTCACCTAGGACGGGGGCTGGAGCACACACACGGGACAAGGGCTAACACTGTGAGAAATCGCCGGCTGCTTTCAGCGTCTTCTCTTCAGTCATGAACAGACACACAGCAAGGGTCCCAGGCGGCACAGACGTGCAGGTCCCATCTCTGTATGTGCTGTGCTGAAGTGTCCGCTCAGTCATCTGCATTTTTACTGGGTGGTTCGCTTCTCAACGCTGAGTTCTGAGAGCCCCCCACTTGCTCTGAACACAGGTCACCTCAAAGACAGGCGATCTGCTCACCTTTCCTGCCAGGCTGCAGCCTTTCCTTCTCCTCACATGTCACAAAGGAGCAGACATTTTCAATCTGAATGAGTCCTGTCCATAAATGGTCCCCTATGGGCCGTCTCTGACGTCACGGTTAAAAGCCTGTCCGATGAGAGCCGTGATGATGTCAGTGCCCTGCAGCGTGTTCCGGCATTAGGCTCGCACGTGGCTCTGATCCACTGTGTCCATTTTTGTCCATGGTGTCAAGTTCAGCCTTTGCATACGATGCCCAATTGTTCAAATACCTAATTCGTTCAATTTAGTTTTGCTTTTCAATTTTAAATCATTTTAATTTTAAAGAGACAATGTGATGTAGCAGCTAATAAGAATATGGGTTTGGAATCAGACAGACCTGGGTTTACAGTAAGGTTTATATTTTTAAATTTTATTTTATTTTTTCTTTATTGATTTTAGAGAGAGGAAGGGAGAAGGAGAGAAAGAAACATCAATGAGAGAGAACGACGACTGGCCGCCTCCTGCACGCACCCCACTGGGGATCAGGCCCACAACCTGGGCATGTGTCCTAATCGAGAATCAAACCGGTGACCTCTTGGTGCGTGGGTCGCTGGCTCAACGGCTGCGCCACACCGGCTGGGATCATATCTGCGACCTCTTAGTGCACAGGAGGGTGCTCAACCCCTGCGCCACAGCAGCTGGGCTGGGACTTCTTCTGATTCATGTGGCCTTACCTTTATCTGTATTATCTGCTCTTACTCCAACTAAGATTTGATTTGGGAAAGGGCTCTCTTGCTTCCTAGTGAAAGAAATTGAAGAAATACCACTCTTATCCAGAAATGTGAGCCACAGCTCTGAGACCCTAACCCTCCCTGCTGAGCACTGGACAACAAACACCTTTGAAGAAACATCGAACATAAGAAAACACCCCGCTCGGAATCAATTTGTCTGAAAACCAACTTTGGGCTTAAAAACAGAGATGGGCAAAAACAGGTTATTAAAAAGAAAAACAGCCCTGGCCAGTTTGGCTCAGCGGTTAGAGCGTCGGCCTGCGGTCCGGAGAGACTCGGGTTCGGTTCCCGCTAAGGGCACGTACTTCAGTTGCAGTTTGTCCCCGGCCCTGGTTGGTCGTGCGGGTGGCAGCCACTCGATGTGTCCCTTCACATCGATGTTTCTCTCTCTCTCTCCTTCCTCTCTCTCCCTCCCACTCTATCTGTACAAAATATGGAAAAAATATCCTCTGGTGAGGATAAAAAAAAAAGAAAAGAAAAACAGAACCTGAAGAAATGTAAATACTGTACTTGAAAACTGATATGAATTAATAACATCAAAATTACCTTAATTCAGAAGTGCTTCTGGTCTGGCCTCCGATTCATGTAAAACTGTCTGCAACATAGAGCAAGCGAGAGCGGGAGAGGGGGAGAGAGGGAGAGAAAAGGAGAGAGAGGGGGAGAGAGAGACTGCATTAACACTGTGCTCAGGTATGAGGCACGAGCTACTACACTTATGAGCTCGGAACCCCCTCCCAGTCACCATTTCTCACCTTAAATCACTTTCCTTAGTACTCAGTATTAACTTAATATTTAGTTCTTCAGTGGTGGTGGAGGGTATCTAATCTCAATTTTTTTTTTTTAATCCTTACAAATGCCCCAGAGAAAATACCGAGTTAAACTGAAGGCTGTTAGAATCCGGCTACTAGAAAAATCACAATGACAACAGAAAAAAGTTCACTGCAACTCAAGAAGCTTCTCAGAAGAATCTCACCCAGATTCCCTTCCCCATCCCACAGGCAGAGGATCGCATCTGATTCTCACAGAAGCCACTGGCCAAGTGCTGCCTAAGTGCGGGCAAGTCCACATGGGAACACGTCCAGCCCCCCTGCTGCACGAAGCCCCACAGCTTGGCCTGGAGTCTAGGACGGAGTCTGGGGACCAGCATACACAACACAGCCAGATCAAAAGTATGTTAACTCTAGGTTCTGCAGAAATATCTGCTGTTCTTTCCCCAAAACTTTCAAATCATTTAAATATGTCTTAGCAATCTCTCCAAATTAAACTGTGTGAAAAGACCACTTTGGGGTGTTTCACAGGTTACCCCCACCTGTGGATGAACTCAGTTTTGTGAGTCTACGAACCCCTGTCCACACATCTGGTCTTGGGGCAGGAGAGGCATCAAGACACTGACATGTGAGCTGTGAATTCTAAGGCATTTATCTTACGCAAGTGTCTTATTCTGGAATTATGCTGCTTATGTCGTACTTCTCCCCTGGCGGTGAAAGTGGGCGTTGGAGGAAAATAGGTTGGTGGTCCCTCAAAACATTAAAACAGGATTTCCTTGACCCAGCCACCTCACTTCCAAGTATACACAAAGCAGGACTGAAACAGAACGAAATGTGTACACGTATGTCACAGCAGCCCCAAGAGGGCAACAGTCCAAACGTCCACCAGTGCAGAACAATCAAAATCGCACGGTACCCCCGCAGTGGAATACTATACAGTCATAAACGGGTCGAGCATGGACACACCACCACACAGATGATCCCCGAAAACATGATGCTACATGAAAAAGACGGGCACATGTTGCATGACTGCACCTACACAGATACCAGAACATGCAGGTGCAGACAGATGCAGTGGTTGCCAGAGGCCCTGCGTCACATGTGGAGTGAAGAAATGCTCACGGGCACAGCGAACTTTCTGGGGTGACGAAAACATTCTGGAATCAGGTAGAGGTGGTGGCTGCTCAACACTGTCAATATGCCACTGAACTGTTCACTTTAAAATGGTTGTTAGTGCTGCCTGGCCAACGTGGTTCCGTGGTTAGAGCGCTGCCCCCCCCCCCCCCCCCAAACACACACACACAGAAGGGTCTTAGGCTCGATTCTCTGTCAAGAGCACATGCCTGGGTTGCAGGTTCAATCCTTGGCCCTGGTCAGTGTCATGTGGGAGGCAACCAATCAATGTCTCTCTCACATCAATGTTTTTTTCCCTCTCTCCCTCTTCTCTTTCACTCTATCTAAAATTCAATGGAAAAATATTCTCGGGTGAGAATCAGCAAAAAAATTAAATAAATAAAATAAAAAGAAGGGAGGAACAGGAAAAAGGGCCATTAAAGATGGTTAACGGCCCGGCCAGTATGGTTCAGTGGTTGAGCATCGTCCCTGCACTACGAGGTTGCTGGTTTGATTTCTAGTCAGAGCACATGCCCAGGTTATGGGCCAAATCCCTAGTGAGGGATGTGCAGGAGGCGGCCAATCGATGTTGTCTCTCATTGATGTTTCTATCTCTCCCTCTCTCTCTAAAATAAAAAAATATGGTTAACAAAAATCACACCATCTGTGGGAACCAGAAGGTGGAGGCCAAAGAAATTAATCAGGGCTCACCTCCTCAAGGGGAGTGCTTCACAGTGCACACCATGGCTTCAATGGAATGGTCAAGGTCAAAAGCAGAGAATCCCGCCCCCAGCCAGGCAGATACCCAGTCTGGACTGTTCCGTGGTGGCTGCCCTGTCACTGCAAGATATTCAGCAGCACCACTTTCCCTATTGTGCCAACCAAAAATGTCTCCAGGCACCACTTGATGTCCCTAGGGGCCCAGGTGAGAGCTACTCATTTTAGGTGATTATCACAATTACCCCAACCTCCAAATACAAACCCTTTGGGTTTTCCACATGAAGAGGCAGGCAGGAATAACAAAAATAGCAAGAAAACCGTATCCCACTTTGCTAACTCAAATGCCTAGATTGCCTTGTGGCTCTAGACATGACACAAAGTCCAGCCCCTGGTCTTTGGAAGAAGCAACAGGGAGCCAACGTCCTGCCCTCCAGCCCCTGCGGCTGGTCACGGGGGTGGTGGGATCGGGGAGGTGCGCATCAAACCGCCTCAGCCTCTCAGCCAGGACTCATAGTATCTTGGTTCAATCCTGAATCTGAAAAAAAGGGCATGAAGACATTTGGGGGGAAACTGAAGAAATGTGAAATGTGGGCTTTCCTCAGGCACTGCTGGGTCAGTGTTGCCCCTATGGGCGGTAAAGGTCAGGCTGCAGGTGTAAAGAATCAACAATGACATCAGTATCAATGAAGTGGGTCCCCCCAGACAGCACAGGGAGGGAGACAGAAAATGGCCCTGAAAAGTCACAAATCACTACATCCTGGGGAAGGCAAGAGCGCTCACCGACCCCTTGTTTTGACTTCCTATAGCTTCAAATTATTCAAAATTAAGTTTGGGAGAAGGGAATAGTAAAGTCAACAAAGGGCAAACGATTTTTTTTTTTTTAAATGTGCCTTTGAAGTTGTTAAACACAAATGGAATGACTTAAAGTCAGAGAAAACGGCTGCAGCTCACAATCACTCCCTGACTGCCCCTCGGACACACATAAGAAAGGCTCTACAGCAGCGGAAACACTCAGCACCCTCACGACTGAATGACACACTCAGTGCATTTTTAGTTGCGTGTCCCTTCACAAACAGATGAAGAACTATTTCATTTTTAATTTTCACATTCACTTGATTTTCCTCCTCTAGTGCTCACGTTTCTCTCCCTCGGGATGCCAGATCCTCTCCAAGGGCTGCTCTCAGTCCTCAGGTCTTCTCCACTGTTTCTGTCCCAGGCTCCTGAGTCTCTCCTCCTCCTGCCTACTCTGAAGCCAGTGTGCTCATCTTCAGTGTCTAGCTTGGTGAGACTTCTGCTTTCTGTAAGCTTTTAATTCTATACATTTCCCTATAAGCACTGCTGTGTCCCACACGTTACGTTGTTTGTTTTAACTTTCATTCAAATTAAAAGATTTTCTAATTTCCCTTCTGATGCCATCTCTGACTTGTCTGATTTCCAAATACCTGGGGGTTTCCTGGCTAGAGTTCTGTCACGATTTCTAACTGAGCCCACAGTGGTCACCACCACGGGTCCAGCCGTCGAGCAGTTCTGGGGCCTGGCCGTCCCCCAGGCTGCTCCATTACTGTGCCTCTTGACCACGGGGCACTTTCTGTGCAGCTCACCATTTTCATGGAGAACCAGAGCAAGAGTGACAGAAACCGGAGGAAACAGCATCTGTGCCCAGGCACGGCACCCTCCGCAGTTGATCTGGTCTTTAGCCAAGTTGTCTGGGTGTTTAACCCTCAGAGCGCTCCAGGTTCCATATTCTCCAAAGGAAAGCTGGTTAACTAACCTTGAAGGTGCTAGAATGTTTTTCTCAAAATTGCTGGCCAAAGAAGAAGTGGACTTCTCACACCTTCTCCCAAGCTGGAAGCCAGGCAAAAAAGCAAACCATGGCACTTCCGCTCAGAACTCACCTCCACGTGGAGATGAAACAACTCACTTCATTGTGCAGAAGGTGAGTGTCCGTCCCAGGGGCATGGACAGACACGTGTGCTGGCAACACAAGGAATACATCCCAATGCAAAACAGTTTTGGCTAACCCTAAATGCTGACTAATAATTTCTAAACGTGTTCAGGTTTTTGTTTTTTTTTAAATATCCTGTACTCTGCTTTGTTTGTTGAATTTTTTTAAAAAAGACTTGGTTTACATATAGGACACAGTGAATCTTTCAGGGAATATCTTAGAAATTTTTTGTTTTGCAGAAAAATACCACTATGCAATATGCCCTGAAAAGGCCTTTCCAACTTTCTCCCAACAAAGGTTCTGCCCAGGTGACTAGCTCAAATTCTGCAATAAAAAAGTAACTTTGGCACGGCTGGTGTAGCTCTGTGGATTGAGTGGCATCCCATGGACTGAGAGGTCCTGGTTCAATTCCCGGTCAGGGCACATGCCCAGGTTTCGGGCTTACTCCCCAGTGGGGGGAGTGCAGGAGGCAGCCAGTCGATGTTTCTCTCTCACATCGATGTTTCTCTCTCTCCAAAAAAAAAAATCAATTAAAAAGAAGGAACTTTGCCATCAAGCACAAGAGTGACAACTGAGTACCAGTCATGATTTGGGGGAAAGAACTAACACAGCCAGGGAAATGCATTAACATGGAAGAGTGTATGAAAACAGCAAGATGCTCAGGACACTTCAGGCCCAACTCCTCTCTACAGCTTCGATAATTCCCTTCTAGAACCACCTAAGTTTCCAGACTGGGAACACACACCCAGACCCAGCATAACTGAGAGAGAGACTGGCATTTTAGAACACCACAGACAGAGTGAGACCCCAAAAGCTCCCAGGCGGAGAAACTGGTGATACACAAAGGATGGAGCACAGCAGGGGCCTTTCTGACAGAGCGCCATCCACATGGAACTAGTTCCGAAAAGGAAGTCTATACTCAACACTATCAAGTCTAAGGTCAGCATGAAGGCACAGAAAGTCTGGAAAGCTACTAGAGGATAATTTCCCTCAAAAGGGGGGGGAATGAGGAAGACACCACACCTGGGACTCAGGAGACACGGGTTCCTT